GAAATGAAGCCCACATGCCAAAATTCAGCTAGTTTTAAGCACTTTCAAAAATGGCCGAAAAATCTAGGGGACGTTCTTGCATGCGGCCTTTCAATTTCACTCTGAATTGTAAGACACGAGGTCCAATCACTAATTAATCATATCTATAACAAATTTCAGAATTAAAAACGTCTTTTGAAAACCTCCTTTGAGGGAACACGTCTGTAGCAGTTTTCATAATTTTTTAAATTGATTGTAGGAAACAGAACAAAGGAAGCCATTAAAGCATGCATAATTGGCGTGCGAACCGCGTGGGTATCCAATTACAGGTATCCAATTACAAAAAGTTCAAATTAGATACCTGTACATGTAATTGGACACCCACATGATCGCGTGCCAATTATGTGACAGGCCTGCAGAGAACCACTCACAATCGAGAATTTTGCTATAGATACGATTAATAATGAAACAAACCCAAGTGAATTAAAAAGTTCCAGGATTGCCCAGGCCACCTGGTAAACAAAGATTAAGGAATGGAAGCAACATCCATTTCAGCCTTTAGTTTTCTAGGTACTGGGTTTTGTTAAGGAGCTGTGCATAGAATGGCAAGAGACAAAAAAGGGAGAGCAGCTCATTCGCCCTCCTATTTTTTTCCTCTCACTGTTGATAGCGCCTCTCACAAACGTACCAAACACCTGGAACAGGCTTAGCATACATGGACAGAGTTTCAGGATTTAGAAGACATATTAGGAGACATTGCCTACTTAAAGTTGAGAAATGGCACTGCCCTGGGATTTCAAATGTGCAAAATTTGGTCTTATCTTTTGCTAAAGTAGTAGCATGGTGTGTTAAGACATTGCCCTCCACCCTTATCACTAAAATTACCTTACTAAAGTAATTTTTTAGTTTGTTAACATTTACAATGTATTTAATAAGCCTTATGTGACTTTTTCCCTACTAATGTCTTTTATCTTTGTTTCAGCCCAACCAGACCAGACTTTGTGAGAGGGAAACTGGATGAATTATTACCCAGGGTGGTCAATCAATTAATATATATATTTTCAACAATCTTAAATTAAAATTGATGTCTTAACAGTTAAGTACTAACAAAGGCTGTGATGCAGTCAAGCGTAAAAGCTGAATAGTTAAATTGTCCAAAAAAGCAAGTAACTGCATGAGAAACAAACTTTAAGGAAAATAAAGAGGTTTTGAGGACAGTTTTGAAGCCCAGGTTGTTAACACAGATAAAGCAGAGATTAAGTGGTGCCTCATTGTCTACATGTATGTCCTCCAATTATTTTTTTGCACTGATGCTGTTGAGCTAAAAGACAATCAGGGTGGCAAAGTAGGGCCACTTAGGTTATAAAATCAACCTTACATTATCTTTGTTTTTCATACATGGCTTGCAAGTACAACATCTCTTCATTAATTCACTTAAATATGTCGGGGCATATGTGTGTGGTTTCAGCTATATGCCCAGTCAATTTCTGGCATATGGACACTAAGAAGGTAGAAATTGAATGAGCAAACCATAATATTCTCTTTTTTTTCTTACCAATTTTATGTCTTTTTCCTGCTGACTCCTGGTTACCAAGCTCAAAGCATGGTAACCAGGCCAAAAAATGGCGGCTGATGGGTATCTCTAGTTATTAGATACAAGTAAGGTATCTAGTAACTGAAATTACAGGATCGTGACGGAAATTTCACAGTAAGATATTTTAAACCTTTTTTTGAGATGAAAAAAGCCTGTTTGTATCTTGAATTGTACTTGAAGGCACAGGGGTATAGACACTACAAGGGGGTACAGACACTCTATTTTGGTTTTTGTGTCCATTTTTTTGGAACAATGGAAAACTAAAAATCCCCATAAATACCACATTTGTATAATACCCAACCACAACAAAAAACATGTAGAGTTATTTTACATTTAGTCAAGTGGATCCTAAAACTCACACGGGGGTACAGCCCCTACAGGATTTTAGCGACCTTTTAAGGTTCAACTTTAAATTGCTGTCAGAGTTTCTTTTCTTAAGCACATATAACCAAAACATTAAATGCCACGAATATGGGTTTCAAATACCTCAGAGAGATATTTCCAGTGACAGAATGTATAACCTTCCCACAAAACCCTATATTTTGGGGCCAATGGTTCCAAAATACCATTTTGCATAATGTGATTATGGTTAAGCATTATTGGGCTCCAAGTCAGAAATATATTGCATTAATCACAAAACATATTTTGGATTTCATTTTGCACATAAGTGTTTGACCTCTTAATCCTTTACCCCCTAAGAGTGTAAATTGGCACACAAGGTCATAACTTTGTGAATATTTGATAGATTTCTATGAATTTTTGCCATGAAAATTGTCTTGTGAAGATCT